CTTTCCCTCTTTCAATCCTTTTGCCTTTTCCTTGTCTCAGCTGGCACCTCCACCTCTTCTTGTTCCTGTCATAAGTAAGTCCGTCTGCTCAAGGTTTTCCTGGAGAGCAGTGCAAGCTGTGGTCAGTTGGCAGGAGGAAGGAGAAAGAACCTTCAGCAGGTCATTGGTGTGCTTGAAGGTGCTGGTCTCCATCCAACAATCTACCTCTTCATCAGTTTGTGCTGGGCTCAGCAGCCAGACGTGCTGGCCATGATGGCCAAGTGATGAGGCCACCCCTAATCCCCTGGCAGGTCTCAAGGTCAGCTGTCCATGGAGAACCTCACCCTGCTGGGGTGCTCCCAAAGCAACACTCCTCCTCCCAGACTGCTGCTGTGCAGAGATGAGCCAACCAATGGCTAAAATGGGAGAAATCTGGTGAACAAGCCACAGAAACCTGCCTGGGGTGTCCTGGGGAGAACACATCAGCAGATGGGCAGAAAAGGATGTAGCTGGTGAGCCCCCAGTCCTGCTGTCCTCCACGGAGTGCAGAACACCTGCACTGTCTGACTGAGAAAACAGCAACACAGACTTGAACCAGGTCAAACTGCCAAACCCTCAACCCTCAGAGCACTGTTGATCTGCAGACTTGACTCACCAGAGTGGGGTTTTGAGGTTAAGGACACGTGCAGGTGCAACATGCCCTGTCCCTGTGCTGGCCCAGGGGGGAGGAAAAACTGCTCCCAGCTCCTGTGGGCCTGTTGGATTTGGGGTGCTGGCCCTCCTCCTCCAGCACAGAGCTGGCAGCTCCTTTCCAGCTCACTTCTTCCTCTGGCATGGACTTGCAAATCCCATCATGGCTGGAGCTACAAAAGTCCCTGTAAAAGTTCCTTCTTAAGGTGAACACCCTGGGTGAAGGCTGCAGAAGTTCAGGTCAGCTGTTAAGTGAAAGGAGATCTCACCGGGTGACCTGTAAGTCCTGGAAAGAAAAACAAGATCAATATTTGCAGAGATTTGTAGGATGTTTGTGCCTGAAAAACCACAGCTGGGGCATTGGCCTCTTTTCTTGCCCAGCTCTTTGCCCCGGGGGCTCCTGGTGATGCCCCAAGTCAGTGTGTCACCGTTCTCCCCTGTGCTCTCATGCCGTGCCCTTGTTCTCTCTCCCTGCTGGATTTGGGGATGCAGAGGTTGAAATTCCTGTTCGTGCTCTCTTGGCACCAGTGGAAAAGCAGCTACAGTTCTAGCTCACCGCGCATTGCTCGTACTTACAGCTTAAACATTGCCTTCTACTCGAAAGAACAAAGATAAAATGTCAGGAATTCACAGTTTTTATTCTCTTTCTTATGCCCACCCATCTTCCCCTGCCTTCCATGTCAACGACTCAAAGTCCTCCTCGTACAGTGGCCTCTGCCAGTGCAGCACTCAAAGGGTTACCCAAGCACGGCTTCTTGGACAGATAAGACATAAGCTCATTCACCAGTAGGAACACGTGGACACATCCATTCCAAACACCTTTAGTGCTTCTTGTAGCGATTCTTTGGGGTTTCGCCACAGCCAGTGACATCACAGGAGAGCACATTGGGCTTCTTCCCCAGGCCAATGCTTCCCAGGAGATCGGGAAGCTCACGGGTGATGGCCTTCTCGATCTTCTCCAGGTAACACCCTCCCATGTAGGAACACTGCTGAGACAGCAGCTTAAAACTGGTGATGGGGTTGATGCCAAAGAAGTCCTTGTAAGCCTCGCGGTTGGGGAGGTCAAATTTGCTGACATTGGTCTTTGCCAGAATGGACTTAAAGATAAAGAACTTGTCAGGATCTTCCACAATGTCCCTGAATACCAGTTCTCCATCGCTAAAGAAGGTCATTTTGTCCTTGTAGGTCTGCAGGTAGCGGTCGACCAGCAGGGCGTGGATGCGCACCCGGATGGCGTGTTGGCGGATGAAGGCGATCTTGTTCTCCATCCTGTTCTCAATCACCTGGTTGAGATCTTCCAGCAGCGAGATCTCCTCCTTGAGGAACAGGTCTCTGTGGGTATCCGGGTGGTAGTCGTGGGGCCAGAAGGAGCTGACGTACACCCTGGGGGGCTCCGTGACGTTGATGAGAGGAGCCAGGCTCCAGAACAAGGCGCCGTAGACCCTCATGAGCTCCTGGGTGGCCAGGCTGTCTGCTTTGTTCAGGATGATGCGGATCTGGGACTCGCGGCCCTTCAGCTGGCGGAACAGCATCTCCAGCTCCAAGCCCACGTCCAGCTTCGTGGGGTCAAAGACAACGAAGATCAGGTCAGCTCTGTCAATGAACCACTGGCACACGTCGTTGAACGGGTAACCTTGAGGAGAGGAAAGAGAGAAATCCAGAAGGAATGGCCAGAGCGGGATGAGTCCCACCACACCAAGGGTTAGATAAATCTTGAGCCTCCTGTATTCATGCCCCATCTGGCTTGGACAGGGTGTGAGACACAGCAGACTTCCCATGAAGCCCAGAACCTGTTTCTCATGTGCTAAAAACACTTGAGAGTTTCTTGGCATGAAAGCCCATCCCTGTGTGTCTGGGCCTGTGACTGCACGTCTCCCTCAGCCTCACCTCCAAACTTTCTTTCTCCCTGCTCCTGGCCACAAATTCTTGCTGCTTTCATGAGCAGATATTGGCCACGTCAGTCCTTTCCCCAGCGGGTACTGCTGGTCTGTCTTGACATCCCAGGTGTTTCTCTAGGCCCTGCTACAGCACCAGCCAGTGGCAAAGCCTGGCTCCAAGGGTGACAAACAGGACATCAAATGCTGAGCCAAGGCAGAGAACCAACAGCCCCAGAAGTCCCTAGGAACCCTTGCAGAAACACCTGACTGCCACACCTCCAAAGAGCAGAAACGGCTGTTCCAGCTGGTGGTAGTCAGGTATGTTCCCCAGGTCCCAGCAGCTTCTGCCATAGCCATGGGCACACAAATGTCACCCTCTTTTGTAGCCTACAGCTCTGCCCTCTGCCCTTCAGCCACCTTTGTCCTCTCACATGGTTCCAGCACCTTTCCTGGAGTCCCTCAGATGAAGCCAGCAAACCCTACCTCGTTCCTGCTGCTTGCGGTTTTCAATGATGCCCGGCGTGTCTACAAAGGTCACTCGCTCCAGCAGTTTGTGGGGCACCTCAATCCCAATCAGCTTCTCCAAGAAGTTCTGCCCAAACTTCTCCAGGGGAGAGAAGGAGCGGGCGCTGTCAGCAGCCATCACGATGCCCTCGATAGTCTTCAGCTTGGGGCCGTGCATGATGACAGTGAATTCGGAGGTGGTGGGTTCTGCCCCTGCAACGAGAGGAGCAGCAGAGCTGTGACATCCATGCTGGGCAATGGACAGGACAGGGCTGGCCTGGGACTAGCCATGAAGCTCAGGAGCATTGCCAAGGGATGGAAGGCAAGCAGCGGAGCCATGGAATTCCTGCCAAGCCCCTTGGGAAAATGCCAGCAGGGCTGTTTTCTGCAGGGACTGGTTGTTCTGGAGGTGGCCTAACTGCACAAGGTGCCCTGTAGAACCACCTCCTGGGAGCCCTCATTACTGCAGCACAGAGCTGGCCACAGACACCTGCCCTCAGCTGCGAGGTGACATCTGTGGCAGCAGGGAGGAGGGAAGGGGAATGACTTTTCTCCTGGGAAGGCAAATTAATTGGCTCCACGTGAGGAGGGAAGGGGAGAAGACAAAGGCAAGCTGCCCTTGCAATGTGACCCAGACTACCCTTCTCCTCAGGGAAGGTGGACACACCTGGGCCACAGTGGGGAGCTTCTCCCTCCATGTGGCACCACAGCTGGGCAGCGTGGACCAGATTGCAACCTCTCTGCTGTAACAGGGAGGGGACCACAGGGACACAGCCAGGAATTGCTGCCCACACGGATGCAGAAGCGCTGGCACCGCCCCCGGGGGAGCAGGGAGGAGCGGCGAGCGCCCTACCTGTGTAGAGCTGGTAGGGAGTGTCATCCAGCCCCAGGAGGTAGTTTATCATGGAGGATTTGCCGACGCTCCACGGTCCCAGGAATAGCACCATTGGCTTGGAAGTGATCTCCCCATCTGCAGAGAGGGGAAATAACAAGAGGAAGTGAAGGAACAATAGCCGCCGCGCTGCCGGCTGTAACGAGCATCCCATCTGAGCGGCGTGGGGATGCTGCTGGGCAAGCAGCCGGCCTTTCTGGGGCACCA